TGCTCTAAGCTGTTTGCCGCTAATCTATCTAGATTGAGCCAGATAAACTATCTCATGGAAACTTGGACACCCTAAGAGCTCTACATCAACTCTCTAACTAAGACTCGGTCTAGATCCAAGCTCCACTATTAGTCCAAGTCCACACTACCTCCCGAGGGTGTTCATTCCGGTACTTATTGACAAGATCAAACCTGTCGATAAAGTCCCGAAATGGTTTCACGTCCTGGTTGTTAGTACCTGAATTTGTCCCTATGCAATCTATATCGGGATCAAGGACGGCATTCCAATCACCCACTAAAACTACCCGATGTGATGTCGTCAAAAACGGCTCAATCTGCCGAAACAAAGCAGGCCGCTCAGAATGGACATTGGGCGCATAAACCCCAATGAGACGAAGAGCCTTATCCTTTATGGTAACATCCAGCACGCAAAGTCTGCCCGCCAGATCCGCGAAGACAAGAACACACGCAGCCTTCAAAGACTTGCTCACCAGCCAAGAGACACCCCTCAAGCGTCCATCAGAACATGCTGAATAGAGGGAAAACCCCCTAGACAGAATATTCTCATAGTCACGAGAAGAAAAATGGGTCTCTTGCACACAACAGATATTCACCCCGAGATGCTGAAGGTCGCGAGAGAGCCTCGCCCTGCGAGACTCCGACCTCAGGCATTCACATTTGCTAACCAGAGAGCCATGATGAAACCGATTAGAGTCGCTCTCCTGCATTGAACATGGCCGGGGTCAGGACACCGACGGCCTCTCCCATTGAGCCTGTACCCATCTCACTCTTGATGGTGCTATCAGGAGACGGGCCGCCAATGTCCAAGGGGAATGTTAACTTTAAAGCTCTGTAAAGGGAGGGGTGAACAAAAATTGGGTACCTCCCTGAACAATATTGCTGCAGTTTTTTGACGTGCTCGTCATCAAAGCACGACATGGACGGAAATATGCCAAAAGTTTTGTTAGCCTCCGCCATCATGGCCCAGATTTGTTGGGCGGCAGCCCCAGATCTAACAACAGTTAAAACCCTTTTTGCTTTTGGGAAATTTCGGGGGTTTTCAACGTCAAGGTCTTTTATTTTGCAGAAGTTTAATGTTTTTAAATGTTTCATCTTTTTTGCATGCATTAGTGCCTTTTCCTCCTGTTCTTTGGAGACGCGGCACAGGTCTTCTCCTGTATTGTATGGAGGTTTTGCCTTGATCTTTTTTCCACAGCGGACTCAGATGTATCGGAAGATGGGCTTCTTTGTCTTTTATTTTGTTCCTGTTTTTTTGGTGTATGAATGGGAGTTTGCATTGGGGAGGGATTGGGTGAGTGAATGGGAGTTGATTTTTTGGATGAAGGTTTTGTCACAGAACCTTTCTTAAGAGTGGTCATTTTGGATGTTACCCGGCTTACTGCTTTGATGCTTGGGGGAGGGACCATGGGATAATGTTTAGTGGTAGGGGAAGTCGGTGCCGATAAAGAGTTGCCGGATTTCCCCTCCGAAGCTTGTCTTTTAGACTTTAGAGCCTCCTTTAGTTGTAGCAATTTTCTTTTTTCTCAAAAGATGGTTCATACTGGATCATTTTGCTTCTGAGCATATCCGAGTAGCGGGCGGAGAATCGCCCTTTGCGCTGGTTGAGGGGGGCTGTTCGTGCCTTTTCCTGTTTTAGATGTGGAACGAGGTTCCACTGCCTGGATCTTCCTTTAGACCTACCAACGACCTGCTATTCCCCCCTCTCCTTCTCCCTAACCGCATTAGCAGTGGGCAAAGGCTTTTCAGGGAATGGGGCTGAGATTTGGACCCAACCGGGGATTTTCCCACCGGTCCTGGTCGCTGGCATGCCCACTACAGGCGAGACGGATTTTGTAGACTCGACCAAGGGGGATTTGGTTGGGCGGGGAGCCAGAACATCAGAGGCCTTCATCTCTGTGCAGGAAGAGGAAAGGTGACCAGTCTTTCCACACTTCCAGCATGCCGGTTTCCGACCCGTCACAATTATCGGCATCTTCTGGCTCTTTACATCCAGACAGTTGGGGATGGAGCAGAAGGCATCCTGATTGATCATAATCTCGAAGCTCCACCCTCCGATCAGATCATCTGAGGAAGCACTGAGAATCTGTCCAAACTGGCACAGATAAGCAGCCAAGTGCTCCCCGACAATCTGAGGAGGAACCTCATATACTGATACGGGTCCTCCGTCTGCCTTCATACTCGGTCCTCAGAATAAGGTCTTTGGTGATGAGATCAAGAGTCGCAGCAGCTTCACAGTCGGCAGGTGTGGGTAACAGTACGTCCCACATAAAATAGCCTTTTCCTTTCACAACCCTCTGAGCTTTAATGCCCAGAGAATTTAAAGCTTTAATCACAGTGTCTTTTGTGGATCGACAAATCTTGCGCGCGAATGCTTGTCGATCACAAAGACTGACACAATTCTTTTTCAACCTTTTTCAATTCCTCGGGATTAGGCAAGAGCCCATCTGCTGTCACCAGATGTGCGTGGCTCTTGGCCCTCTCCAGGAAATCCATAATGTTGATTTTGCATTTCGGCAGGGACTTCCAACATGAGGGCGTCTCTCCGCCGCTTCATTCACGTCATTATTTTTGGTTGTCTCAATAGAAGAATTTTGGTCACCGTACTTTGGTCATTTGAACTGGTTTCTTGGTCTAAATTTTGGCCATTGCTGGCCACCATATTTTTTTCTGGACTACTTTTATCTTTTTCATTTTGGGAGGGAATTGGATTATCCTCTAATTTTGAGGACTCTTCCGTCGCCATTTCTACTTCTTTATCGGGTAATTTGTCGGGGGGATCATTTTTCTTTTTTTTAGTCCCAAACAGGTTTTTTTTAACAGTTCTCTTGGCACCCATTTTAAAATAACAATTTTTTTTTTCTCTCTCAAATAAAACAGAAACAAACAACAAATAAAAGTATAATTTAAAAGAAAGATAAATACAATTAAATCACAAAAATAAATTTAACGAGACAGACATAAACAATAAACAGGTAAAAAATAAGTTATAAAAAACATTAATGCTTAAAAAACGACAAAATACGTTCAAAATAAAAACAGTTAATTACAAATTACAAAAAACGAAGTACAAAAAATGAAAATCACAATTTAAGACGGAAAATAAACAAAAGTTATCTTTTTTTTTTTTTTTTTTTTTTTACAATAATGCAACAAAAAATATGCAACAAAAATGCCAAACGTGTTCACAAATACAATATGGCTGCCACTAAAAGATTCTAGTCAGCCCACGAACACGAACGAAAACACGTAAACTAAAATTAAGAAGAACTAACGAATAGTAAAATAAATGCGGAAAATAAATGCAAAAAATTACAATAAACACAAAAAGGACTTAAATAAAGGAATACAGAATAAATAACAGTTATTTACAACGAGAACAACAAAGAAACAATGAAAACACATAGAAATAAAAATGTAAACAAAGAAAAACGAAGTCTTACGAGGGGCAAAATAAACAATGAAAAAATAAAGTTTGGCGTGGGAAAATTACTAAAAATTAAAAGGAAAAAATTAAAACTCAAAAATACGTATTAAAGAAAATGAAAATTACTAATAAGAAACAACAAGGGATAAAGTAAAAAAATACGAGGGGGAGGGAAAGAAAGAAAAATCAAATCAAACTTTTTGGCAAAAAAGTCAATAAACGGAACGTAAATTTAAAATAAAAAGAACTTAACGTGAACAAAGGTTGAAATCAAAAAACAGTTCTTAATCAATTGCAAATGCGTCTGGCGCCAGGCACCAGTCGTACACCATCGAAAAAAGAACTCTCCTCAAAGAGGTACCATAGAGGAAAGTTCATCAGAACGATTATCATGAAAGTATTTATAGAAAAGCCAGAGGAATGCTATATTATGGTGGTGAGAAAGGGACTAAAGCCATGAAACCAGGTCAGGACCAATAATATTGCAGATTCTTTGGGTTTTTATCAAGAATCTCTAAATATATAGCAGGAGCACAAGTTCAGATGTGACAGCAATATTCAAAGCATGGATGAATGGTAAGCTTATAAGTATGTAAGATTCTGGTGAGAAAAATTGCCTAGCATGATATAGTGAACCAATTTTCTTAGGTGCAGACTTAGCAACTGAGTCAATATAGCCTTTCCACTTTCATATCAATTGAAAACATTAGTCAGAGAAGGCATAAAGATTTCCAATCATTTAAACTGTCTGGTGTTTTTTGCCTCATAGGCTTCAAATAAAAATTATATGCATGTTTTTCAGAAATCTTGATCATTCAAACTTGTACAATGGAACATACCTAGCTGATACCCAAATGACTATTCTGACAAGGAAAAAAAACAAAAACTGTTCCTTATTTGGATCCTGATAATTCCTTTGAATCCAACCAGCTTCAATTCCCAATGAGGTTCAAGCTTGTCATGTTCATCTCTCAAGATTCTTGGTCTCAGCTGAACATCTTCATATTCCACCACCCCATGGCTAACATTATGCTGATTGTTGTAGGGTTAATTCCCTAATCTTTTCATGCTGTCACCCAATAGAAGAATCCCTGTCAATTTAAGGAAATTGATCATTTGCTTTGTGGTGTTAAAGAACATATTTTTTCTAAGTTTTTATGTTTGAAGTTATTTTCCTCACCACTTCATGTCCCTGCTAGCATACATAAATTCATTCAACAACAGTAGTGCCTCTGAGAAAGTCCTTATCAGATGATGAGCTTGGGAATATTCTTGGATCCATAGAATCATTACGACTAACCCAGGCTGCCTCAGCAGTACCTTGCAATACTACCAGATTTGTTCTGTCACATTGCAAGAATACCAGGTGCCAGCAGATGCAGTCGATACACCCAACTTATTTTAGCCCTTATCAACCAAATGTTTTAATCCCATAGACTAATAATCTTTTTCCTTTTTCTGACAAATTATTAATCATATTAATTCAAAGATATATAATGAAAAGATCAAACTCCTAACCAATAGTTTACATATTTGAACCAAATTCTTTCTCTTACCTCAATGTAATCCTTTTCTTCTCCCTTCTGGTTGGTCACCCTGCGGATAATGCATCTGAAACGCCCTGAGGGAGACTCCTTGTTCCACAACCTCAAAGATAACAAAAATTAAAATAAATAGTAGATTGATATGATTGCCACTAACACAATGTCATTAGGAACATGAAAGAATATCTTTGCACAAACAAAACACCCAATGAATGTGGCAAACTTGATCATCATTAGCAAATTAAATAAATTGATGCAATTCACTTTTTGATCCTCTGTTGTGCTTATAATGGACATTTTGCTAAAATGTTTAAGAGAACCCAATTAAAAAAAAAAAAAAAAAAAAGCACCTTTTACTTTTTTAAAAAATTTTTTTGTAAAAAGCAGAAGCAAAATGGAGTTAGAAATAATGTTATGAAAATAAACAGCTAAGATAATTTGTTTTGCTACTTTGTGAAACTGAATTATTCTTTCACTTGTCACTTAACCCATGGCCATGATAGGTACCCATTACACTACTGATGCCAGAAGTTGGTATTCAAATCTAGTAAAAGGCAGGATTTTGAATGCCGATTTTCAAGGTAAGCAGGCACTTTTTACTTGGGAGTTTGACACAACACCTTCTTCATACCTTCAGTTTCATTTAGTGCAGTTTTAAGCAACACATAGTAAAAATGGAATTTTCTTTTTCAGTTGGGAAAAATTATGACTAACTCAAAAATTCCTGTCTTTAAATCAATAAAAAAGAAAAAAAAAAGAATATATGTATATATATATATATATATATACACACACAAAATTATAAATAAAAACCCTGTTTCACAAAGATTTAATAAAAACATACAGACCAGAAAGATGTGAATAATTTCCAACCACCATATTTTTTATTGGCAGAGTTGCCAAATTCTATGAAACTTTTTTCTTTTATGAGAAGAATATAAAATTTTGCATGCAATCAAGATGAAGCCCTTTGTTAACATTTTATCTGAATATAACAGCAATCAGATAAATAAATGTTATATTTCTATTAAATCAGATGTGTGTGTGTGTGTGTATATATATATATATATATATATATATATATATATGAAAGAGACAGACAGACACATTTTTTTTACAACAGTTTCGAGCATGATGAGAAAGACAGGGAGATAGACATATTGGGGGGAGAAACGAGAGCAAGAGAAGGAAAGAAAAGTTTTAAGCTGTCAGTCGACAGGTTGACATACTTCCTCCCACTGCCCTCGGACATGACACACGTAAGATAAAGTGAATGTATTCAAAGAGAAACATTGAGATATCTATTGAGTTTGTGATAGTCCAAAGGCCTAATTTTGTAAATATTTTTAGATTTATTAGCTTTAATCAACAGTTTCTTATAATTTTTTAAGTCTTTAATATTTTTTTTTTAATTTTATATTGGAATTGGTTAGATGACTTCTTTAAAAGGTAATTTTTTTTTTTAAATTAAGTTAAACATATCAGCTTCAAATGGATCTAGAAGTTTATTATTACTGATGGTGGAGTGTTTTGAGATTTTAGATTATATTTTTCCTTTTTGTAATTTAGTGCATATTGAGGGTTTTAAAAATAAGTTTTTCCATCGTAATCTTTTTATAAGGTCAATGATTTTTATCAGTGAGTGAAAGAATGTAATGAAGAGTAGGGAATGTTTTTCAGGGAGTAATCTTGAGTAAATTTTTCCATTCTTTGATAAAACTGTAGATTTGTAAGCTAATCCAAAAAGAATATTTCAACGAGGCTCAACTTATGAACAATTATCAATAATATTACTTATTAGCAATTATCAATAATATTACTTGATAATTGTTAGCGATAATTCAAATCCAAAATTTCAATCCATAGATTCAAAGAGAGCTCAATGTAAGAACAGAGCAAATATAATAAAATGGTCCTTTACTTATCACTTTATTTATTTAATCAAAATTTTTATATTAAAAAGTTGTCTTTTTTAAAAAAATGTTTTAATTTTAATTTTTTTTTATTATTATTATCAAATTTTTTTTTTGAAGTTATGATGCAATGATGTTCCACTGCATGAAATGAATAGATATCTCAATGTATCTTTTCAAATACATTCCTTTTTGAATATGTTCACTCTTTTTTTTTAATTGTCATGTCTGGGGGTGAGAGGAAAAGATGTATGTTCCAGGTCAACCCATCAACTGACTGCTTAACTTTTTTTCTGTCTGACTCTTTTCCTTCCCCCATAAACAAAAAAAAAAAAAAAAAAACATAAAACTTTATTTTGAAATCTCTGTTCTTCCCCTCTTATATTTGAAACTCATCCCTTTCTTTTTTCTCTCTTTCACCTTTTCTCTTTTTTGTGTATCTTTTTTTGCTTGTGTCTGGATAAATTTAAAATCTGTTTATTGTTGTAAAATGTTTTGGTCTGAAGGGATGGGGTCTGATCCTGTGAAATAAATTATTACCAATGGATTTCTAACGACTCCACTTTCATTATTATATTTTCTCTGTTCTTACATTGAGCTCTCTAGATTTATATCCTCCTTGGAATTATCCCTACCAATTATCAATTATAATATATATATATATATATATATATATATATATATATATATATATATAGAGAGAGAGAGAGAGAGAGAGAGACAAATGCGTGAAAGATATATCTCATGAGATAATGGTAATGTGTTGGTCAGTCCAGATCACTTGGTAGTGAAATTGCCAGAAGGATAGCTGTGTTGACACTCAACTATTTATTTCTATAGTCTTTTCTTCTATGTTTAAATATGGCTGCAAGCCAAGTAGAGAGAGTCCAGTCTGCTCTGTTATTTAATACATAGCAGAAATTCATGCCTTTTCCAAGAGCACTAGTATGAAACAAATAAAACAGTCAGAATCTGAACTGCTTGCCAAATGACAAAGAAGAAAAACAATTCAACCAACAATGTTTAATTTTTCTTATTACATTTTCCAGTGCGTATATAATGTTGTCAGACATCTGGATTAAATATGCAGAAATTGTGAAAAGGTTTTAATATTTGTTTTTGTTTGAATACTTTTGACCATTTCTACTGAATATCAAGAACTTTAATGACAGTAAAAAAATTTCATTTTAAATGATAACATTCATGTTCTTGATAATGATAAAATCATAAAACATAAATATGGTTTTTTTGTAACTTATAGAAAAACGTAATAAAAATTTAGACAGAACTTTTTAGTCAATTTTAGTAAAGTGTGTGTGTGTGCGCGTGCGTGTGTGTGATAATATAAATATGGTGAGAAGAAAATTGACTATGGGAAACTAATATTTGTTGATACATTTCCATACCTGTTACTACTTTTTCCCTTAAACAAGGGCAGATTTTAGAGAGAAAAAAATTCGGCCATTATGAATTAATAAAAAAATTAAAATGTCACAATTGTGGAATTTTCCATACTGCACGAAAAAAAAAAAAAAGGGGGGGGGAGGAGTGTAATTTATTAATTTTTAATCAAGTAATGAACACATCATATATATCTCCTTTGATGGAATTTATCAAAAAGTAAATGTAATTATTTTGCAGTATGTATTTATAAACAGAAGTAAAAATATCAGGTTCTCAAAATTCTTAAGTTTATGAATGCTCAAAGATATCCTTATAGCTAACTGTGAAAGTAAAGTAAAATCTATGAAGGATGTGAAATAATGTAATTTAGTGCTTGAACAAATGTAAGTAGATGTTATTGTTGAATTTTTTTATTTCCTTATCTAATTTTTTTTTATATTAATGCAATTATTTTAATTTGATAAATTGTTTTGTAGAGTAAGTGGTCATGGTTAAATATCACTGGTAGAAATGCCCAGCGGAATTGACATGGCTTATAATAAACAAAAACAAGAGAAAGAAAAGAACAGAGCAGAAAATAAGATTAAGCAAATAATATAAGGTAAAGCAACAGTAATAAGGCAAAAAGATTGATAAACTAAGAATCATGTTAACACACAAATGAAAATACAGAAAAGTAATTGATTGCAGTGTTTTGGCTTTAAGACAAGACTGGAACCAAGTCAGATGAGATCAAGAAGTGGCCTATATTATTGATTAGTAAAAAATCCCAGCATGAATCTGTGTGGTTTTGCCTATAAATTGGGAGTATTTTGGAGTCATTCCCTACTGGCGTGAAACCAACAGTTTATTTATTTTAAATAATATTAAAAAGTCTTGATTTAACCATTTTCTTCTAATTTAAAATTTTTTTTATAGCCATGCCAGTTAGTTGAGAAAAGAATATTTGTTTTAGGAATGGAGGTATTTTAAAAAAAAAAAAAAAAAAAAAAAATAGAGTGCATTTTCGTAAGACTTGATAGCAGCACTCTTTGGTTGAATTTATTTCTGTGTATGACTAATGTATTTGATAATTAGTATGTATATCCTTTTTGTGTTTATAGATACATCTTTTTTTTACATTCCTGCAAGTTTCACCAATATATTGTAGGGAACAGTTGTTAACAGCTTATTTTATATATACCTGCTTTAGAACTACTATTGTTATGGACATTATCGATTCTGATCATATCCATAATACAATGTAACCCGGATATAAGAGATTTTCTCTGGTCCCAAATTAGAGCCTGTGTTAATGTATATAAGAGAAACCCGGATATAAGAGAAACCCGGATATAAGAGAAACCCGGATATAAGAGAAACCCGGATATAAGAGAAACCCGGATATAAGAGAAAGATATAAGAAAACCGGATATAAGAGAAACCCGGATATAAGAGAAACCCGGATATAAGATAAACCCGGATATAAGATAAACCCGGATATAAGATAAACCCGGATATAAGATAAACCCGGATATAAGAGAAACCCGGATATAAGAGAGATTTTCTCTGGTCCTGTCCTCCCCGATATAAGAGAGTTCGTTTTGAGTGACAGTGTGATGTCAAACAGAGGTCAGTGAGAGAGAGAGTGAAGTTCAATGACTTAATCTTGACTAGTCTAGAGACATGGTATGTCCAATCTGTGTCTGTAGGAGACACCCTCTACCTTATGATTTTGCTTTGTGTGTCTAAGGGTAGCGCCGCCCGCTTTTTTTGTCGACTTTGCTTGTCGTTGCATTTACTGGAC